ACTCGGTGGCATCTCCAGCCCATGTTCCAGCAGGGGCGAAGGGGTGGAATCGGAATGGCGCGGAAGGTGGGCCGGCCCAACGTCCTGGCCCCATAAAAGAGTCTGTCCGGGCCCTGGTCTCGGCGGATTCGGACTCTGATGATGACCCCCAGTGCTTTGAAATCTTGAGGCGGCCTGCTTCTGGTAAGCCTAATGGGCAGAGTGTCATTACAACTAAAGGCCATGTGAGTCAGGTTGTAGCGGCATTCGAGTCGGGGATGGCCCTTACTGGTGAACAGGCTTGTTTCCGAGAGGAGCAAGAAATGGCGCCTAATCCGGAGCAGATCGCCCAAGTGGAGATCAATGCTGAGCACCCGGTTCTGGATGAGTATGGATCTAATCTTCAGCATCCCACTTTTGAGACGCGCAAAAGGCCTTTAAGTGAAGTGGAAGGAGAGTTGGGTGTTGATCCAAGCCCAAAGAAGCAATTTGTGGAGGATGAAGATAATTTAAATCAGGTGGAGGAAGCCAGCCATAATTGGCCCCAGTCGGATGAATGAGGCTTCTGGCCTGGAATGTGAGAGGAATTGGGCCATCCCTCACATTCCAAACTGCTGTTGGTCTTGTTTATTCTAATAAACCGGATTTGGTGTTCTTCTCGGAGACACGGTCGAGCCGGCGTGTAGTGTCCCGTCGTATGCGGGGGTTAGGATTTGCTAGTTCCCATTGTTTCTTTGTTGATGCTGTAGATGCTTCTGGGGGGTTAGTAGTGGCTTGGGCCCCTGGAGTTGACACGGCAGTGTTGTTTCATTCCAATTTCTTTATTTGTTTGCAAGTTAATGAAGATGGATTTTTTTATGTGGTGGTCTTTGTTTACATTAGTTGTAACGTTGCCACTCGTGCTCTGCAACTCAATCACTTGCGTGAAATTTGTGGAAATATTTCCATCCCTTATGTGATTATTGGAGACTTCAATACTACCCTGCACGAACATGAGAAGGATGGGGGTAGGGAATGGAGTGCTTCTCAGGCTGTTAGCCTTCGTGAGTTTGTTCATGATTTGGGTCTCCATGACCCGGGATTCCAGGGGGATCAATTCACGTGGACGAACAAACGTATGGGCGCAGCGTGTATTCGGGAAAGCCTTGATAGAGCTCTTTGTTCTCAGTCCTGGATTGATGCGTTTCCGGAGACGTTGGTCAAACACTTTACGGACCAAGGTTTGGATCATCGCGCCCTGCTCATCTCGGACAAACCTTATAACAGAATCGGCCGCCCTCTATTCCGGTTCGATGCCCGCTGGGCGGATAACCCGGAGGTTAGGGCGATGGTCCATTATGTCTGGCGAGAGGAGATTCAGGGTACTCCTATGTTCGGGCTATGGGAACGCCTGAAAAGACTTCGTCATTTGCTGTATGATTGGAGTAGGGCGGGCACTACCAATTCTCTGCGTAATATTAAGACGCTACAGGCTGAGATTGATCGAATTAAAGCAGTCCACCCGGTGGATTGGGATATGGTTAGAACTCTGGAAACTGAATTATCCCGCCAATGGGAGGCAGAGGAGATGTATTGGCAACAGAAGTCCAGGGTTCGTTGGTTAAAGAAGGGTGATCAGAATTCCGCGTATTTTCACACGGTCACTAGAACCCGACGTAAACGGAATTTTGTTGCTGGGCTCCGGAATGAGGAGGGTGAGTGGATCACGGAGGAAACTGGAAAAGCAGCCATCGCTACAGATTTTTACCAAACCCTGTTTACCTCAGAGACGCAGGTCCAGAACATGGCGGATCGAGTGGCTAGTCTTCCGATTGCTCGTAGTGTTACTCCGCAAATGAATGTGCAGTTGACAGCTGCGGTTCTCCCTATTGAGGTCAGGAGAACGGTCTTTGCGATGGGATCGACGCAGGCCCCAGGCTCTGATGGCTTCACTGGAAAGTTCTTCAAGGCTTTTTGGGATGTTGTGGGCGATTCGGTGGTTGAAGCGGTTATTTCATTCTTTGAAACGAGTAGGATGCTGAAAAGCTTTAACCATACGTGGCTCACCTTGATTCCTAAAGTTGACTCTGTGGAGAATATCAGACAATTACGTCCGATCAGCCTTTGTCAGTTCATTTATAAAGTTATAACGAAAATTATGGCTGAACGTCTTGTTGGGCATCTGCCTCATATTGTTTCGGAAGGACATAATGCGTTTATTAGCGACCGGCAAATTATTGATAACATCCTTATTGGGCATGAGTTAATGCATTATCTTAAAATCAAGAAGCAAGGGAAGAAATGGTACATGGCTTTGAAGGTTGACATGGAAAAGGCCTATGATAGAGTCGAATGGCCCTTTCTCCTTGCAGTTTTGGATAAGATGGGTTTCAGCTCGACCTGGCAGGGATGGATTCAGGAGTGTCTTCGGTCCTCTACTTTCTCGGTGTTAATGAATGGCTCACCTGCTGGGTACTTCTCTGCTTCCCGGGGCCTCCGGCAGGGGGATCCGTTATCTCCGCTCTTGTTTGTGCTGTGCACGGAAGGGTTTGCGGCTCTCCTACAGCAGGCTATTGCGGAGAAGCGTTTGGAAGGAGTGAAGGTGGCCCCTCGTGCCCCTCGCGTCTCGCATTTGTTCTTTGCGGATGATTCCTACCTTTTCCTGCGAGGGTCTCTACAGGAGTGCGAGAATCTTATTGAGGTTCTAAACGAGTATGAAGAGCTCAGTGGCCAACGGGTTAATTTGGCGAAATCGGCAGTGTGCTTTAGCAAGAATGTTGCCTTGCCTGATCAGGAGTTTCTGGCCACGATTCTTGGGGTTGGAGCAGTGGGGGTTCATGACAAATACCTAGGGCTCCCCACCCTGGTGGCCAGATCCAAAATGGCAACTTTCAGATATCTTGAGGAGAAGCTACTTGAGAGGCTTCAAGGGTGGAAGCAGAAAACTCTTTCTTGGGCTGCTAAGGAAACGCTGATTAAATCCATAGCTTTGGCCTTGCCCTTGCATGTTATGTCATGTTTCCGGCTCCCCCTTTCATTGTGCCGGCTTCTCGATAAACACGTGGCCCAATTTTGGTGGGGTGCTACAGAGGATCATCTTAAAATTAGATGGGTGTCCTGGAGGAATATGTGTCGGAGCAAGCATGAGGGGGGAATGGGATTTCGCCAGTTTGAGCATTTTAATCAAGCTCTATTAGCTAAGATCGGTTGGCGTATCTTGACGGAACCGCAGTGTCTCCTTGCCCAAGTTTATAAAGGGAAGTACTTTCCGCGTGGTTCTTTTCTTAGTGCGACTGCGAGATCTCGACCATCCTGGGGGTGGCAGAGTATCCTATATGGCCGCCAGCTGCTAGAAAATGGGGTTAGATGGCAGATTGGCGATGGCCTTTCGGCTTCTCTGCTCCATTCGAAGTGGATTCCTGACTATCAGCTGGATGCCCCTCGCTATAATCCGATGATATTGCCGGGGGGTCCCTTGGTGGCGGAAGTTATATGTCAGGGGGAAGGATGGTGGTCGGAAAGGCAGCTGCGTCAATGGTTTGATCCTCCTACTTGTAAAGCTATCCAGGCTATTCCTCTTCCGCGCCTTAGTGTTGCGGATAAGCTTATTTGGCATTACACTGCTTATGGGGTTTTTTCGGTTAAATCCGCTTATCACTTGGCTGTTAATTTAGATAGAAGGAGAGGTGGATGTAGATCTGAGGTTAGCTGGATGGACAAACCTAGTTGGATCAAGGTGTGGGAAGCCAAGATACCCCCAAAGTTGAAGGTCTTTGTGTGGCAAATTCTGAACCGGGTTCTACCTACAACAGAGGCGTTGATTGCGAAGAAGGTTCCGGTGTTGTCTCGGTGTCCGGTATGCTGGGAAAGCCCGGAGACGATGGAACATTTGTTTCTCTATTGCCCGGTCGCGAGAGCTATCTGGGACTATTCTGGGCTGGATTATTTGGGAGAGGGTTTGCCTCGCCATACGTTCCCCTTATTCCTCAAGCGTTTGTTGGCTTTAGTCCATCAGCCCTCGTTGATTATGGCTGTAGTTGCTGTCCTTTGGCGGATCTGGCGGTCGCGGAATTGGGTTGTCTTTGAAGACAAACAGTTTGGGATTCCCGCGCTAATGAGACAGTTTCATCAGCAAGTCGAGGAATGGGTGGCCTTGCCCGTAGAGCTGGCTCCTACGGTGGTAGGGCCAAGGGGTCAGCCGGTTTACGGGGAGGATTCACGTATGGTTTGTCGGTGGGATGGGGCGACTAGGAGGGGATCACACTCGGCTGGTGGGGTGGTTCTTCTCACGCATGACCGGCTACTTATGGCGAAAGGGGTTCAGTTTCCTGGTATGGATGAGCCTGCTTTGGTGGATTTGCTGGTGTTGCGTGAGTCTATTACCTGGTGTTTGGAGTGTGGGTTCACGGAGGTCCGGTTTGAGGGTGATGCCAAGGTGCTCATTGATAAAATTAACCAGGCAGATATGAGGGATAATCGGTTGGTGGCGATCCTGGAGGAAATTGGTCAATACTTGCGTGCTTAGCGGGGGTTTAGTGTGCGATTTATAGGTCGGGAGAACAATAGGGTAGCTCATTCGGTAGCTAGAAAAGCCCTTTCTTTGTATCCGACTATGTGTCGTTTGTTTGATTTCAGAGCCTGGCTTGTTTCCAGGATGTAACTATTTTTCTATCAATATATGATATCTTTTGACAAAAAAAAAAGGAAATTACGTTATTAAAAGTGTCATGAAAACTTGGAAGTGTCCGGGAAGGTTTCTGTGTGTAGGATGCGGTATTGGGGGTGTCGCCACAAGGATTAAAGCCTTTGTGAGCAGTGACTCGGGGAGAAGTGAGAATTTCATATGCAACATTAGTTGCACTTGCGAATTAATATCGCAATATAAATGAAATAAAATTAAAATATGTTAAGGATAATCCTGTATTTTCAAAATATAATTTTTACAAAATCCCTAAATCAGAGCTTCTGCTCTTATATAATACAAAAGCACTTTTTAGTTTTTTAAAAGCCGAGCTTTTGAAAATGTTTGGCCCGACTTCAACTTTTGAAGCGAAAAATACTTCTAGAATACGGACTAAACAAAGGCATTCATTCATTTTGAAAACGCAGAAGATGGTACTCCATCGACGATTGTAGAAATGTTCTTAAGAGAAACAACTTTATACACAAATGGGGAAGAAAGCAAAGCCAAGCAAACTCGAATGATGGTACAAACTCGAACAAACCGCTTTACATTGTCTTGTTTCCCAAATCTATAGCTAACATTCTATTGAAGGGGCCCCCTTACCAGCTCTGAAAAGCCCATCACGGACTTAAATGGTAAGGTTTTGTTCAGAGACAGAAGCCAGACCCTGCATCAACCTCACGATCTCTGCTGTATCGTCCAGATAGTACTTAGCCTTGCTGGGTTTCTTACCAACCGTGCATGCAAACACTTCTGACCTTGGGTTCAATGATGTTAGGCCCGCCATGGAACTTGTTATCACCTCAAACATGTCTTCATCTGACCGATCATCTCCAATGCATACCACAAAGTCAGGCGTTAGTTGTTTCTCTTCCATGGTGGCGAGCAGGCGTTTCGCAACTAGCCCCTTGCTCACTCCCTGAATATGGAAGGAAAAAAGTGTTCCAATATAAGCTATCCACTATTATTTGCTGCACAAGAAAAAACAAAAGATCCAGCGAACAAGCAGGCAATAGTACACAAATGTGAAATACAACATATGCCAGCTCTATTCATATGGAAAGGAGAGGAACTTGGTACTTTTCTGATTCTCTTCTCGACATTTCTTTGTAACATGGATGTGTTTGTTTCAGTTTTTTTAAGTAGAGGGTTAGAAAAGAAGCATGTTTGGTTGTCTTTTAGAAGAAACCTAGAAAAACGTATGTGAACTGACAAGCAACTTAAATGCAGGATGGAAGGATGGCATGTGATGCAAACAAACCTGAGGTTTAACCTCCACTATGTTCTGTCCACTCTTGACGGTGACAGGTTCATTGGCCAAAACACTTTCAAGATGATCAAGAAGTTCTTTCGCTTGGCATGAACCAAAATCTGGGTCAGCATCCTCATAACACCACACAAGTGCAGTTTCCTTATCTTCAATCGTTGATCCGTCAGTTGTCTCGGTGTAAAGCTGCATCACTGGCTCAGCAATCTGCTTCCAACTAGTATCAGCTGCAGCCACACATGTCTCCCACTCCACGTCTCGCATTAGCCTGAAGAAAAAAGACCATTGAATTTTTAAGTTCAGTGCATCACCGAAAAACAAAGCATCCTTTTATTCAGTCTTACCTGAAAAAGTAACCATGCTCAGCAGCTAAACCCATGTCCTCAATCTGGGAAAACCATTCCCCAAGCGTCTGCCGGCTTCTGGCACTGACAAGGAAAACAATGTTGTTCTTATCCCTACACAAGCTGTTCAGGATTTGTATAGTCTTCTGTGAAGGGCTTTTGTCGATCGACCCCTGAGGCATTAGAGTACCATCATAGTCCAGTAGGATCGCCCTTGTCGTGGTCCTCTTATAAGCTGAAACAATATGTTCCATCGACAGCTTCCTGAAGTTCGGATCAAGTGCCACAACTCTAAAGCTCAACCCAAACCCAATCCCCCAGCACCTCCTCTTTGAATGATCTCTACACGTCCTTTCCAAGTCCTGAAGAAAACTACGCGCCCAATACCCAACGTCATGTGTGCTCACATATCTATAATGCTTTTCATGCCTAAGTTGTTTCTCTGAGTCCGCCATCACCAAGGCGAGATCCATTGCATCAGCCACCGCGTCAATATTCCACGGATTGACTCGAATCGCTCCACTCAAGGAAGGCGAGCAGCCTATAAACTCGGATATCACCAGCATGCTCTTCTTCATCGACGATTTGTGTCCCAACACTTTATCTAGTTGCTCGTTCCCTTGGCGGCTGATGACGTACTCATAAGGTATGAGATTCATTCCATCCCTAACAGCAGTCACCAAGCAACACTCTGCAACAGCATAATAGGCAACTTTCTCATAGAACTTTAGTGGGGCATCGATCAGCACAACAGGGTTGTACCCTGGCCTACCAAATGTCTCGTTAATCCGCTTGACAGTGGAGTAAGTCTCGGCCTGGACTTCTTTCACGTCTTTGCCCCTGCCTCTAGCAGGATTTGCTATTTGAACCAGCACCACTTTCTCTTGCCACTCTGGATGCTGCAATAGTAACTGCTCCATAGCTAATAGCTTCAAGCTTATCCCTTTGAAGATATCCATGTCATCCACTCCCAACAACATTATCCTGCCTTTTTCATAAAACTGGTCGATCAGCTCTTGCACCCTTTTCTCGGTCTCGGAAAGGCTCAATACCGACTGAAGCTGACCCATGTGGATACCAACGGGAAGAATTTTGATGCTAACAGTTCGACCGCAGTACTCCAGACCAATATATCCCCTTTTCGACTCATAAGTTAGACCAAGCATTCTACTGCAGCATGACAAGAAATGCCTGGCATAGTCGAAAGTATGGAACCCAATCAAATCTGAATTTAACAGTGCCCGTAGAATTTCTTCCCTGATAGGCAAAGTCTTGTAAATCTCGGACGAAGGGAATGGGCTATGGAGGAAGAACCCCAGTTTCACCCGGTTGAACCTTTTCCTCAAGAAAGTTGGCAACACCATCAAATGGTAATCATGGACCCAGACATAATCATCTTCGGGATTGATCACTTCCATGATCCGGTCAGCAAAAATCTTGTTCACCGACACATATGCCTGCCACAAGGAACGGTTGAACCTACCTCCAAGGTCTGGAGACAAAGGCAACATGTAATGGAATAGTGGCCACAACTGTTGCTTACAGAAGCCATGGTAGTAGCGACTAAAGAGATCGTTTGGAAGGAAAGTTGGGACACATTTGAAGGTTTCCAACAAAATCTGTGACACTTCGTCTTGTTCGCTTGGGTGAACTTCTGAATTCAAGCAACCAACGTAGATGACATCAAGATCGTCATCACCCAACCCATCTTTCAGCTGAAGAAGAAGTGAGTTGTCATCCCAAGTGAATATCCATGACTTGCTGCCATCCGATTTTCTCTGGGCCCTTATGGGGAGCTGATTGGCTACGATGATTATCCGGTCCCTCTGGGCAGAAGAGGAAGACGGGTCAGAGCACACACTCTCCGATGGATCATCATCCAGATCGGAAATGATACCGGCCACGGTCATGATCCTTGGAATTCTTCTACTCATTCGACCAAAGGATGGAGAGTCACCAGAGGCAAGCTCGAGAAGGTTGGAGTATGATCTTGAAACCATTATGCTTCTCCCAAAAAAAAAAGAAGTAAAATATTCCTTCTTCCCTTAATTGCTGATGCCTAGAAGAAGTACTTCACTCGCACCAAACAGAAAAACGAAACAGGGAAACCCTTTTCACGATTTTAGCGCAAAAGCCGGAAGAACACCTACAACCCGACCACAAAATTGAAAAAGCATCGCTATTTTATCACAGAATCAACAGCCTTAAGCAACAAATTAGGCACAACGAGTAGCTGAAAGGCCTTTTAGAGCGGAAAAACAAAAGGGGATAGTTACCCAGAAAGCGGCAGCAACAGCAACAGTCAAATTAGGTTGAGACACAAACACAAGCGTTGAAGTAGCTTGGAATATATTCAATAACACCGAGCTAAAGTAAGCACGGAGCAGCAGACATCTGAAGAAGGAGGAGAAGATCTCCACAAACTACAAGAAACGAGAAACCCACATAAAAACACCAATGAATTTGGACACGGAACTCACAAATAATTTGTATTGAAGAAGAAACGAATTTACAGTTGAAAAGCACGCAGTGTGGTGGTGGGAAGGAAAAACTTACCAGAACCCAGAAAATGGAATTCCATTTCCTTTTGACAGTGGTGGTGGGTCAGTACCAGCTGGAGCTTACTACGCAGAAAACGTTTTTTGCTTGCCCCCACAATAAAATCCTGGAAGCTGTAGCTTTTTCAGTTTCCAATTTCAATCACTTGTTCATTTCAACGGGAAAACGAGAGGTAGAGAGAGAAATGGAAGAGCAAAGTTGCAGTCTTTTCTAGTGGAAAAAAGAAGCCACTCTCGCTCTCTCTCTCTCTCCCCCCCCCCTGGCCCTGCAAGTGATCTATAAGTATAAACACAGACGGACAGCAACAAACCAACACCCCCTCCCTCTCCTTCCCCTCTGCCAAACCCGAACCTAAACCTTGTTGGGACTTTTGGTTCCAATCGTCACTCCTTAGTCCTTACTCGTTAGGAAAGGATGAGCCGGGCGGACCCCATAACGAATAACTATTGTATTCTTATTTCTTTAGCTAAATAAAATTAAAATTAATAGTAGAATAGAAAAGATGCGACTTCTGAAATATACAGGGTTTTATTTTATCGATATGGACGGACTCAAATTTAGAGATGGGATATTATATTTTATTGTTATTGCAGCTCCAAAATATCCAACTCCGATGGAAAGGGGAGAGAGAGAGAGATGATACCCACCGTCAGATGGAATCTGGGTCTGAGGTGATCGGACGGTCCGGGGGAGGGAAAACTGCTTACACCCGAGAGGCAGCGGATTATTCTCGATTGCTGGTTCTTATCCACTTTGTTGCTATTGACACTCAGTTTTGTCCGCCACGAGGCATCCAAAATGGGACCCACTCGAGAAACAAGGTAGCGGTGTGAATGTGATACTTTGAGATGTACTGGATAAATAGAACTTGCACAGCGAGCTTTCGTGTCGGTGCGCTGTTGGTCTGTTGTGGTGTCTTGCTAGAGGAAAGCCGTCAATTGAGCATGTAGAGTAGAAGAGCTAGTATAATTTTTGTTAATTTCTGATTTTAGGTATTGTTTATGTTCTCATCGGGTTATGGCTTAGTACTCTCTGTTTTTTTATCAAATGTGGCCCAATGTTCTACTTTATCTTGGATCCGTCGCTGGATTCGAGGAATGGGTTGACCATTAGTACGATGTCTCCTGATCAAAGTTGTTAAACCCCTATCGGACCCCCTAGTTAGAGGGTAAAATACATTGGTACCACTAAAGTATGAGAATTGGGGGAGCTATACCACTTAACTAAGAATAGGGCATCGCGTACCACTAAACTCTATTATATATATATATATGCACCCGGTACCACTTAAGTTTAATACTAAGAGCATTTCGTTAAAGTTGACTACATATTCTTAGAATATTCTGTTTTCTAAATTTCATAATTGGTTCTTCTACTTTTCTTATTGTAAAAATATCATTTGGACTTATGAAAAACATTATTTTTTATTATTTAGTTGGAATCCTCTTTTGAATACTTGATATCAAAGCAATTTTTTAATAGAAAATTTAGAATCAATTATCATTATAAGTATTTTAAATTATCATTATGTGTTCTAATAATTGAATTATTCCCTGAAACAAATATATCTTGTGAATTCAACTTAGTTGGAATCCTCTTAAGAAAACTCTGATACCAAACCAATTTTTGAATAGAAAATTTAGAATCAATTATCGTTATGTGTTCTAATAATTGAATAATTCCCTTAAGCAAATATATCTTATGATAGACATATTTTATTTTCTACATTTTTTATTGAATGTTATAGCTTTTATAGTTTTTTATTACTTGGTTACTTTCCATCTCTTTTCGTTCTAAATTTTTTTATAATGGAATATGTTTAATTCTTTCTAATTGTGATCCATTTATCCTTCTTTGATTTTGCTGATGATCGATTAGGTTTTATTTTAACTATTTTTAATGGTACTTTCAATTGAATTAGGGAGTTTAAATATATATTCTAATATTGATTTAAATATTTATTATTATATTTAGTATAATTATTTTTCTTCTTGATATTCGTTTATTATTTTTACTAATTTATCTATTGTATTGAAAAACATTATTAGTCATTCTAGTAATAATATGTTTAGAAGTTTTTCTAATTATTATATTAGATAAAACTTGTTGAAATATAGTTTTGGATGTTTTAAAAGTTTTGGGTACCAAAATGTAATTAAAAGTTTGGGATGGATGGAAAAGTAGGCAGATGCACATTTTTGCGACTTTAATGGTATACGACGTCCTATTCAAACTTTAGTGGTATGTCTACCCCAATTTTCAAAGGTAAGTGGTACCCGAGGTGTTTTACCCCCTGGTTGGAGCTAGTCCGGCCTAAGTCGGACTTTAAAATGGTCTCTAGAAAGCCCCCGGTCTGACCCCTAAAGAGGGAGAAGAAGAGAGGGGGAATAGAGGAAGAGGAACGAATGATGGGAGACGGTGGGTGGGTCATGGAGGTTAGGTAGATTTATTTTGTGGAAAATAAGTTTTTAATAGATATATGTAAGATAAATTTCATTTTAGTTATTAAATCTTTAATTACTATCTTATTTGGATATATATTTAGAAAACGTCTAAAACGGTTCAAACCAGCCGGACCCTGATGAGGCCATTAAACCTCAAACCTCTAGTTTGACAGGCTCAATGACTTAAATTGGTTTGACAACCTTGCTCCCGACACAGCGCATTGGGTTTTTTTTAACAATAATACCCAACTTTTATTCCATATCTGGTTGCAATCTTAAAAAAGATCTGAAATTTGATCAAGAATATTAATCCAGTCATATGTCAGTAAAGATCTAGTTCTTGATTGCGCAATCTGATCCGCTCTGACATTCAAAGCTCTCGGCACCTCTTTGACTTTAATGACATGAATTGTTCTGAGGATAGTGACCATAGATCCAATCCAGGCCGCACATCGTCATGATCATCTTGATTGATCTTTTTTCAAAGCTTTCACCAGCACCTGACAGTCAGATTGGACAATGCATTCTGATTCATATTCTTGTGCTAATTTTAAACCTACCAAGAGAGCCTTTGCTTTAGCTTCAATCGGTGTGGAACAAAGAAGAGTCTCAGCTTCTATATAAAAAAAGAGCCCCACCTCGCCCATCACACACTTGTTCATGGTGGTTAACAGCCACAACACCATAAGCCGCCGGCTAGGAGTCACTAATGAACGACCCATCATAGTGAATCACCATAGAGTGATTACTTTGTGGGGGATTCGTAGTAGAATGGGTTCCCCTGAGTTGAGTAGGAGAGGTAGGATTGGGAGACGGGGGCCTCGAGCAAGAAGTCCATTCAGTAAGTTCTCTATAAGTTTGCATACATACGTTTGGGGACCAAGGAACTCTATTCTTTAACGTACACTCATTTCTTGCCTTCCAAATATTTCAGTATAGAAAAACAATATGGATCCGGGATTCTTGTGTAATAGCTTCCTTTAGAGAGCATATCCAATCAAAAAATGAAGTGTCATGGGGAGGGAGCGGGAGAGATGGCAGTAGAAGAGGCAGCATAGGAGGGACTCATTTGAGTTATGGCAGACTTGACAATTCGGGTAAGGGGCATATTTCCGATGAAAAATCCTCGCTTTCGTAGCCAACCCATCTATGGAACACCTCTAGATGAAGAATTTGAGCTTGGGTGGTAGGTTCAGTACCCACATCCATTTTCATCTATTCGCGCTTCCCATCGGTTGATAGTTTGTGTTAGCTTTTTGAAAAGCATGGCATGCACTCTTAACCAAGAGCATGCCCTCTTTAGTAAGATTCCAAGCCCAAAAATCTTCAGCTCCTTCTTCCCCAATTGGAATCCTCACAATAGCTTCTAATTTTGCATTAGAAATGTGGCTTGAATAATATTCGAGTTCCAACATCTATCACCGGGATCAATCCATTCCTTGACTTTCATATGTTGCTGGCGTTCGCTTCTAATGACGAAATGTTGAAGAGGAAAAATCCAGAGGTCTTGATCCACCCAGGTGTCCTCTCCTGAGCTAATGACTTTAATCGCTCCCATGCTAATGACTTCTTTTTGCCTCCCAGAGACTAGCCCAGATCCAAGAGGAACTACTTCTCTTCTTCGAATTTAGAAAATCTCCCCGCGGGAAATAAATACCCTTAAGAAGAAGACTCCACAGGGAATCAGGGATGTGAGAAGACGCCAAGCTTATTTCACCAAAAGGGCCATGTTGAAATCTTTGAAGTTTTGGAATCCCAAACCCCCTTCTGATTTTAGTGCACACAGAATATCCTTCCTAAACCAATGCATGCTACTTTTCTGCATTGACCCTGACCAGAAGAAGTTAGTGAGGAGAGAGTCCATTTTCTTGGTAAGGGTCATTGAGCATAATTTATTTCCCTTCGTGAGAAAGCAAGAGGCTTTTCCAAGCTTCCCCCGTCTTTTCCATTGTTTGAATGAGGAAGTTCAAGGTTTCCTTCTTTGAATTTCCCCACTCAATCGAAACCCCCCCAGATATTTTGAGTGACAATTCGATGAGGCAAACCCCATGTGAGCAATGATAGAGGCTTTGTCATCATTGGAGACATTTGCACGGAAGAAGACAGATGATTTGTTGATATTCACTTCTTGTCTCGTGAATGCTTCATACTAGCTGATTAGCTCCAGGGTTTTCTCAGCTTCCTGATGGTTAGCCTTCCCAAAGATGACTGCATCATCTGCGAACATACAATTGGTGAGAACTGAGCATCTAGAGTTCAATTTAATCCCTTTTAATTTCACCTGAGCAACTGCCTTATCGATAAAAAAGGTGTGTGCATTAGACATTAAAATGAAAAATGAAAGGGGAAAGCGGGTCTCCCTGTCTAATGCCTCGCAAAGGGTTGAAAGGCTCCATTACTTCTCCATTGAAAAGAATCGAGAATCTGACTGACCGGATACATGCACTGACCCAGTTGCACCATATATCTTCAAAACCATACTTCTTTTGAAGTGCCTCTAAGCAATCCCAATCCACCATATCATATGCCTTTCTCATATCCAACTCAAGCATCCTATCTCTTCTCGTTCCAAGCTTACAGTTCTTGAAGTGATGGAGAGCCTCGTGGACAATGATGATGTTTTCTTGGATAAGCCTCCCTCCGATGAAGGCCGTCTTGAGCTCCAAAATCATGTCAAGTGTCCATTACTTGAGGTAGGTTTCCCTAATTTGGATATAATTTTATATCTAAAATTACAGGGTTTCTCCAATTATGTCCCAGAAGCGTCGTTAGAAACAACCAGAGAATCCATCCGGTCTCTGACTCGCTAAAACACAACTCCTAACAATGGCCAAGTGTAACCAATGAAAGGGACCGCAGTATAGAGGCACAAGTAACAAATATCGAATCCACGGGTCTCTAGAGTTACTATTA